AATATTTTAAAAGACAGAAATTGATTCAAAGCCATCTGGGCGCATATATTCAGGGTAAAAGTTATTAAATATGAAAACCATTCAGTTGGATCAAAGCTTTCAACTTTAAAAGCTTATGAAATAAATGGATCGGCGCAAAAACCTTCATATAAAAGGGATCAAAAACTGAAGAAACAATGCTACTAAATATGCGGCAATTGATTAGTTATATTCGTTAGCTAGGACTCACTGAAAAGGCCACATGCTCTTTATATGCTACTTATATTATTCCGTAGCTGATCAACATACTGCCTTGCGAAAACAGCTCCTTGATGATGTTTCTCATATTTCGACGGCAGATAAATATCAACGGGTCTCTACATCTTAGGGATTTATTCTCCAATATAACGAGAAAGGTAATGAAGATAGCCTAAGGCTAAAGTTTACATCTACAAATAAGACCATCCAAAAATTATAAGATAGTATGGTACAATTAAGTTAGGTGAATCATGCTGCAGAGAACCTAAGCTAATTTTATGGCTTTTGTCTGAAACTCGTGTGCTCATGCTAATGTCAAGTAGAAGATTTAATGAGATTGACTCAATGGCCGATAATTGAACTCACATGTATCTTACCTAGTCCCCTCCATCCCTTCAATCTCCTTAACATTACATTATTCACAGTGATCTTATCTTTATTCCTACCACGGTGAAGCCATGTTAATATTACCCCATGATCCAAGCCGTATAGCATCACTGTTAAGTATTATTCATAGCCTGTTCTGTTCAATAACATAACACATACCGTGCGCCATCCACTCACAAAAAGCCGTAGATGTTCCTTCTCCGAAGCTGGTGCTAGTGCACACCAGGCCAACCCACTGAAACTGATCTCTGATAGTGAATAAAATGTAAAATCTCTAAATCTGCAGACGATGTAGATTAAATAATCTACGGCGAAAGAATGATGACGACACTTAGCTAGCATTGGGCACACCATATCAAGAGTTGCACCATTTAAGTGTTGTGATCTACTCAAATGAATTCTATAGGTAGGATAGTAACTAACTAATGAAGAGTAGCACCACTTTGACCTACCGTCTAAATGGCTAATAAACAGAGCGAGATAATCTAGTTACGAGGTAAAGGCAAAATTAATAAAATGAGATGTTATCATTGGTTGCTAACTTACTTTGATCTTGTCTGGCATCATTTAAATGGTATAGTACTGGGACCAAAATATCCAATACCTGGCTAGACTTAAGAACATAGTACATGAATTTTTTGTTGATGTCGCACATGCGCCAAAACAAGATCAATAACTCTTGGTGCAGTTGTACTCGCTTTGTAGATCCTGGCAAATAAGTTTGAATAAGCGGATTATTGAGAAGACGAGTGACACCAGAAAGAATAAAGGCAAAGTCCTGTGGAGAAGGGTACAAAACGTATATCATATTTGTAATAGAAATAAGCTTTATATATATGTATATATATATATATATATATAACTATGTGAGGGGGAGACATTATAAATAAGAATAAGACTCAAAAAACAATGTATAATACACTTATAGTAGATATACCTCATCACGGTGAATGCGTGCCATATAATTGACAAAGAGATTCTCAGGGAATGTGGGCTCCACACTGGCAATACTAGACTCATAAGTGACATCAGTGATCAACCTTTCGTTGGGATGCGTAGGTGTAGATACCTTAGCTGAGCCAAAGCGAGTATGATTGTGTGAGTGGCTGGCATCAGTTTCTAAGACGACACATAGAATCTAGTAAGCCCAATGAAAAGGAAAGGAATAATATATTTGAAGAATCATCCATTTTGAGGACAGCACAATGAAAAAAAAGATAAGGCGGGAGCAATAAATAAAAATAAATAGAAGGCATGAAGATCAGGATGGCGTGGTTTTCGTATGTTCGCAGTCCCCTTTTGCTGAATAGAAGTTTTAACCTCGTTTTCGCAACTCGGTCGTATTCTCAGGGAGATCTAGAGAAACACACTTTTCCCGGGGTCCATACCATCCATGATAATTTCTTGAACCGAACCATAATTTGGTACATTCTTAGATATTTGCTTACTCAGTGAGGCTAGTGGATACGAACTATCAAAGACTTGAGGCAGAGTTTAGAACATAACGCCTCGAGTAGCACGGATATGATGGCAGTGATCGAGTGAAATCAATGAACCAGGTAGATAAGAGACAGATTCTGCAGGGCAAGAGAGAGACTTTGATAGGACCAGGAGGAAGAGGATTGCGGACTAAAAGGGCAGACTTGGATCAACACCCAGCACGGTGGGAGTATGAGGGAACAAGCAGGGAGCATGAATAGGTCTCATTAAATACGCTCAAAAAGGCACACCTGAACTGGATTTAGACAAGCAAGTAAGAAATTGTGATAGTGAAGGGGTGATACAGGGAGATAGGATGAGTGAATGCAGCTGGACAGAATAAGAGATACCACAACTGCTTAGCAGACAATTGGCTAAATAATCGATTTCACTTGTCTCTTTGACGAGTCGTAGTATGGTGCTAAGAATAGCAAGACTTATTAACGATGCCGGCGAAACGTCTGGTAATGTAGCAAGTCC